AACTGTAGGTTTGTATATGAAAATTGTTATTAAATACAGTATTTAAAATGTTTTCTCTGGTGATGGTTCTTTTTTTTTTTTTTTCCAATAAGTTTGCTAGTTAGAAATTGAAGCCTGCAATAAGAATCACTGGGTGTCTGATTTGTTGGTTCTCCAAGAGGGATTGATAGGGTACTCATTAAATATGTGTTAATTCTACATTTTAGGGCATCTACAGGAAATATCTTTATTATTACCTAATTCAGATTTGTGAACAAAGGGAGAAATTGTCTTTTTCTGAAGCGTCAGAGAGTGACCACAACTGCAGATAGCATTTTGAGTGGGCTAAGATGTATTAGTGTCATTTTGGGTTCTGTGCTGTGCCAGAGAATTGTTATGCATCTTGTGCTGGTTGGAGAGCATGGTTTTCAATGATGCTGTGTTGCACAATGTTATCTTATGGTAAGGAGGTAGTTAAAACAAAGAACCACAATATGAATGTATTGTATCTAAGTTTATTCTTTGTTTGGATTTCTTTCCATGGAAATGATACTTTTATTTGAAAACATTGATGTCACTGCCATGGAGGCTTCTCCATATTACCAGTGAAGATTATGTGGGTTCCTTATTTTATGATCTGTTTCTTTTGAGTATTATTACTATTTGGAATTTAAAAAATTAAAATAATGTTTCCTGTCTTTTGACTAGTTCTTGAGCATATTGAATGCATTGTAGCAAAGTTTAATATGAAAATTAATGAAGTGAGCTGAAATATACTACTGGTTATATCTTTAAAAGTATTTGAACCTTTGAACATTATATGGCTAATCAAAAATCCTGAAGTCTTTACTTGTTCTGTTTTATAATGCTCCTCTGCTCTTGCACACGACTGACATGCTTTAGTCATGGGAAGAAAAAGCTAACAAACAGAGCCAGGACTAGAGTCAAAGGCTGGTAATTTTAGCTCCGTCCTGTCTGCAATGACCTCACCATGAAAGGAACAAGACACCACTTCTAGGAACTTAATACAATATGACCATGAAAGGGGAAAAACAGGGGCTGGATTTATGTTTAGGTTATCTGCCTGTAAACAAGAGATATTCTCCATCAGCAAGTCTGTACGTAAAGCAAAATTCATGTGGGATAATGGGAGTTTGCTGGGCAATGTAACCCCTTTTCCACTGTTTAACAGGGCTCATGCCTGATTTCTGTCAGCCAGTTCTTCTGGCCATACAGGTTCTTTCAGATTGTGCCTCTCTGTTCCCCTCAGCCCTGTTCAGAGAACTGATCTGAGATGTTGACATAGTTTCTGTGTGTGTGATCTAGGGCTGTGTTGAACTTCTTGTGCTCTACCCACAACATGCACAGTTTATGCTGGATCAAACACAGCTTGCCCATAATTGTCAAAGGTTTCAGACTCAGAAGGTTTTAGGAAACATAAAACCAGCGTAAACACATGTAGAGAAGAAAGAATTGGCTTTTACAGTCAGATGGTAACTGACTATTTTGCAGTAGCTGTACCCTGGTTTTCCTTGTAAATTTTGAGAGGAAGGAACAATGTATACAATTGTGCCCAGGTGGCCAAGAAGGCCAACAGCGTGGCCTGTATCAGGAATAGTGTGGCCAGCAGGAGTAGGGAAGTGATTGTGCCCCTGTACTTGGCACTGGTGAGGCCACACCTTGAATCTTGTGTTCAGTTTTGGGCCCCTCACTACAAGAAGGATGCTGAGGTGCTGGAGTGTGTCCAGAGAAGGGCAACGAAGCTGGTGAGGGGTCTGGAGCACAAGTCTTATGAGGAGCGGCTGAGGGAACTGGGGTTGTTCAGTCTGGAGAAGAGGAGACTGAGGGGAGACCTTATCGCTCTCTACAATTACCTGAAAGGTAGGTGGGTGTTGATCTCTTCTCCCAACTAACTAGTGATAGGATGAGAGGAAATGGCCTCAAGTTGCACCAGGGGAGATTTAAATTGGACATTAGGAAAAATTTCTTCACCGAGGGAGTGGTGAAGCATTGGAACAGGTTGCCCAGGGAAGTGATGGAGGTGTTTAAAAAACCTGTGGATGTGGCACTTTGGGACATGGTTTAGCGGGCATGGTGGTGTTGGGCTGATGGTTGGACTTGATGATCGCGAAGTTCCTTTCCAACCTCAATGATTCTGTGATTCTATACTGTTCTTAATCCTGGATTAACTGAAAATACTGTATAGTAAAAGAGCTAGTAGTTCCTCTTCTGGAAATGTTTTAGCTTAGCCTGTGGTGTATTACTGTACCCTTCCATTTTGTTTTGTAAAACTTCTAAGGTAACCTCCTCTTGAACTGAGTGATAAAGTTACTTAGAGTGAAAACCTGTTAAAAGTGAACTGTGTAGATTTTATAAGGAAAATTTCAAGGTCCAAAATTAACACAACTGAAGCACAAACTTAAAAATAATATGAACATAATCTATTTTCTGCAAAATGAACTTGATATTTTAAAACATATATTTCAAATTTGTTAACCTTTCCTAATGAAAAGGGTTTTTTTTTCTTCCCTTGTAATAACTGGTGGAGTTCAAATGTTTGAAGAAAAAATGCAAAGAGGAAAGCATGCAAAGGAACTCACTTCTGTAAGTTCTCTATGCATTGTTTAGCTGTTCTCCAATGTTTGAATAGGAATTTTTGGAAATAGGAATGCTTTCAGATGAAAATGTTCGATATTTGTAATTCTCTTGTTTAGTGTTAGAGAATTCTTTTCATTTAATGAGTATCTTAAACATAGAGAATTTTGCAGATCATCTTAACCAGGATTTATAGACCTCTCTCCAGTAGTGCTTGTAAGGTGCATACCTGACTCAGCATTCAGTACTGAATCTTGTGTATTTCCCTTACGTTTGTCCACAAAGAGAGAACACTTCATTTCAATTGTTATAATTAAAGTTGGCTGAAGTTATAGTGATTTTTCTAGTTCCTTTACTTTTTGGGGAGTAAAATAAATTAGCCTTGCATAATGTTTTTTTGCAAGACTGGAATATCCATGCAGTGAATAGTGAATTAACGAAAAAGTTTTTGCTTGTTTTTGGTTTCATTCATAAAATGGTTATAATGGAAGAGCTTTTCAGTGTTGAACAAGCCTTAAAAATCTCTCTCTCTTTCTCTATTTTTTTTCCCCCCAGTGCTCACTTTTGTCTGGACAGGGTCATGCAGTTTTCTCCTGTGCTGTTTTTATTCTCCTCAGGTACATCCTCTGTGTTGCTCTTAGGTCAGAATCTTCTTTCACATCTATTGATCATGTGAACATGGATGTAGAAGTATAATTTCAAAGATCTTGGTAGTTCATGATAATGGTGTGCTAAGAGAAAAACACAGAAGTGGTCAGTAGATACGCTAATTAAAGGCAAAAAAGCAGTGAAGTTCATTTCTGTTCAAAAGAAGGCATCGAAATTTTAAAACAGACATATTTTAAAATATCTCCTTTCCAAGTCACAACTGACAATGCTTCTTTTCTGAGTGCAGTGTGGATGAAGATGATTCATGTAAGACCCATCTCAGCAAAATCTTCACTGTGATGTGTTTCTAAGAACAGGTGAACTGCTACACCTCGTCTGCTTCACAGGGAACTTGACTCTTCCCACCTTTTGGCATTTTATTGCCTCCCCCCACCATGTGCTCTTTGTGACAGACTGAAATGCAAATCCAGGAAGAGAGGTCTTGAATCAAAATATTTGGAATTGCCACTGAAAGCCTGTAAGAAAAGACACTCTTTGGCACTTTATATTATTAAAAGCCCATACATTAATGTTTCAGGTAAAAAATGCTTTCTGGATCAGTCAGGAAAGTTTGGTAAGAACAATTAGTCCTACACATTTAACTTTCTTTAGAGATTTCAAATGTACACAGAAGGCAATTCCATTTCATAGACCTGAATCACCTCTGTCACAGACTATGCATGGTCGTTCTACCAATACACGCACATATACACTAGCTTAGTCTGGTCACTCAGGTTGACGGTGGTCTTCGGAAAGGCACCTTGTGTGTTACACAAGCCAATCCTGTACTCCTTACCACTTGACAAGGTACTCACCAAGATTTATGGAGCAGCTCTGCCAGGCAATGTCTCCTACTTTTAGTTTCTAGGAGAAAAAAACTGATATGGCAGTAGAGGCTGCTGGTCAGAAGCATAGTCTGGGCACTATGCTAACTTGTGAGAAGTCAATACAGACTTAGGTATCTAAAGCTGAACAGCAACCAAAGCTCTGCTTTGCAGGAATGTCTCTTAAAAGATGATCGTTTGGCATATTCTGAGACTTTCTAAGAAAAAGATGGATACTATCTTCTATACCTAAACAATGAAGTTAACTAGTAAGTTGTAAAGTTAAATCTTAACCAATTCAATTCATTCTCCATCTCAACATGAAATCAAATACTTTTTGTTTCTGGACTGACAGCTTTACATAGCAAAATGAAACAAAACAAAAGAATTAATATGAAAAGGATTAAAAAACCCAGACACTTAAAGACAATGAACTCTGGAATATTTTTTTGTTTAAGAAATTAGAAGAAAGAAGACTGAAGGGGCTTCATCCAAACCAAAATTATAGGTTTTGAACTCTTCGTAAGAAATAACCATCTGACCACCTGCAGCCCTGGCAGTCTCAAACTGTGTCTGTGAGGGTGGGGGTGAAATGGTGCTACCTCCTCCTGTGAGGATTGTCTATTAAAAAAATCTTTGGAAACACTTATGGAGACAACCTGGAAACATGGTAGCTGGTGCCATAGATTGTACCTGTGACCCGTTTGTTTCTGCTGGTGACGAAGACTCAGAAGGAAGTGTGAGAATTTTGATGATAGGCAACAGATGAAAAACATACCATAGTTCTTCCTGATCCTCATTGTACAGTAGCTGGCTTATGTTCTAGGATTTTTAAAAGAAGGTGGTTTTTTTCCTGCTCTTAATAAAATTGTAGACTTTTCCTCATTAAAAGAAATCGAATGCAGAACAGTTTTATCTTCATATAGTGAAGTAATTCCATTTAATTTTCTATAGGGCTGGCCTTTGCGGTTCTGTCTTCAGTCCATCCAGTTTTTGGTTTATATGGCTCTTTCTTCCCTGTCATTATTTACGCCATATTTGGAATGGGACGTCATGTTGCAACAGGTAAGTGTCTGTTTGCTAAGAACGTTTTCAGAAATAAGTATTGGAAATTGAACCTTTTTTTTTTTTGCTATATGATCAATAGAAGGAAAATTATCTAAAACTAAACAGAAATAGGATGTTTCTGTGCTTCTTTTTACAATTATTTGTTGCCAGTTTAAGTACTTTAAAGACCCTCATTAGGAATTTAGTGGAGTTACTCCTGACGTTTTGATTTAATATTACATTGACACTTCCTTTGTAAATGTAGTTTACTAAGGGTTTTTGTATTTTAACTGTATTTTAGAAATATGCTTCAGACTAAGATTCTAACAAAGGGCTCAGCCAACAAGATATGTGCAAACAGGAAGGAAAAATGTTCGACTGCATCTTAAACCATGGACAACACATTATTTCTCACCCGTCTAGAACACAAACCCTGCATTTCTCAGAAAAAAAGTTTTCTGTGCCTACTACCTGCTATAGTATTAAAGCTAGAGATTCTCCCAATGAGTTCAGTACAACTCCTGCCCCCTTGCAGAGTGATTAGGAAGGCAGTGAAAGGTGCTCTCTGGCTACTATGCTAGTAGTCACAAGTTCCTTGTTTACTCTCAGCAGAGCCAACAGCAGCTGCACGACTTGAATGACTTTGATCTTCTAATAGGTTGTTGAACGCTCTGTTTCTGATTCCAAAGAATCACAGAATCATTAAGGTTGGGAAAGACCTGAAAGATCATCAAGGGCAACCATCAACCCAACACCACCATGCCCACTAAATCATACCCTGAAGTGCCATGTCTACAGGCTTTTTGAACACTTCCAGTGATGGTGACTCCACCACCTCCCTGGGCAGACTCTTCCAATGTTTGACCACTCTCTCAGTAAAGAAATTTTTCCTAATATCTAGTATGAACCTCCCCTGGCATCAAAGCTGGAAATAATACTCATGAGATTGAACAACAAATTCTTTGCTGTGCAGAAGTGGGCACTTGGTGGCTTCTAAAGTTTGCAGGAAGGATGAGACAGGCCCAGTAATAAAGTACAGTAGGACTGGGTAAAGCGAAGCAGCCTCTGTGGTCATAAGATTTAAACAGGGAGGAGGTTTGTTTTCCTTGTGGAGGAGAAAGACTCCTGAAAAGAGGAAAGATTGTTCTGGGTGCTCACACACAAAATGAACTCTGTAGAATCTGATTACTTGAGTTATGCACTGACGAATTTTCTAGTAAGAAGTTAGTCACATATTTTGAGCACCATCTTTGTTCAAAACTATTCAGTTGCATTATTAAAAATTGCCAAAGAGCTTTAAATCATCTTACAGCAAAAGCAAAGCTGAAAGTACTTTTTTCCAAAAGGCACAGAAAGTATTTCAGCCTTTTGATGTCTGAGAAAGATCTGTGGATGCTGTTAGTGACTTCACCCTGTGATGAGTGATGGCACGTACTCAGCTCATGTAAGAAAGAGAAGCATTTTAAAAAAGTGAAAATTTAGAATGTGGAAAATAATTTTGATACTTGAGCAGAGATAGATTAGTATACTTTTAAAAACTTTTTTTCATTAAATATATTAAAACATGAACCTATATTAAAAATTAATAATTTAGGAATGTGTTGTCAGCAGTTTATTGGTGTAAGATTATTAGGAAGACAAGAATCCATCTTATGATCATATGTAGGAAAGTAAATAAATAAGTATATGGCTGACATAAATTCTAGTAATGAAAAGAAATGATAAAATGGGTAAGTACAAGCAGCTAAGTCTAATGTTTTATCCTTGGGAGGCAATACTGTTCAGAGAACGATTTGCTGAGAGTCCCACAGCTCCATGGCCACAGATTCCTGCACAGTCCGTGGTGAGGAAACCTGTTCCTTTCACAGGTGTCTCTTCCAGAATTTAATCTTAAGACAAAAAGGACACAAAACAGTTCTTTTGCTATCATGAATATATTTTTAATTCAGTGTGTGTGTCATATGCTGTTGATCCCTTTGGTAGAAATGTCTCATGCACTCATCCCACCAGCCTCAGTTAAGGCGTTATGGTGTACAGGCTGAACTGGAGCTATACAGCCTGCCTCCGATGCCCAAATGTCTCATAATTCCTCACATACATTGATGACAATCTCTTCTCCTACCACCATTTTCTATAAGGTCAATGGGGTTCTCCATATGTATACAGGCTATAAAAGTGCCCTTTGTTAGTGAAGTTAGTCATGTTAATATGAAAAACAAAATTCAACAATGGCCAAGATCTGTCAACTTTTACTCACATGAGATGTCTCTTCTGTGACACAGCTGATCTAGTTTGAAAGAATACTGACCTGAGTAACAAACTCCTACACCTTTTTCTTGACTATTTTTGATATAATTGATCTTGGAGGATCTTTTGAGGCAGCTTCATCTGTCATAATACCACATACAGACCTTTGATTTCAAGTAGAATTTTATGTAAACTGTTTTCAAAACTGATTTTATGGAAGAAAAAAAAAAACAGTAACAAGGAGGGAAAGGGTTTTAAAAGAAAAAGGAGGAATTTGAAAAACAAGATGTCTACAAATAACCTGAATGTTTCTTGAAAAAACTGTATTTTAGGCACAGGTAAAAGGTGTATCATGAATCAAAAAAGAAAATGTGATCCAAAAAACCGTTCATGATCCAAAGGGAAAATTAAGGTGACTGACATATAGGTAAGAGTTTGGCCTTTGAAAAATTGAAAGTTTGACCAAATGAGGTGAGCAGGAAAGCCATGAATTGTGGAAAGTCAAACATATACAGTCTAGAAGGCTAAAAAAAGGAATTTGAATAGTGCCATGGAGAGGATGATCAAACTGGTAAAGTTCTTAAAAAACATCAAAATCAGGAACCCAGGAAAGAAACTGGTGGGACACCTTTCTGACAAGGCCACAGGACTGTCAATTTACCAGTGTAATTCATCTGTCAGTAGGGCTCTGGAGGGAATCCTGGGAACTGCAGATCTGTCTTGCACCCTTATTACAGTAGACTATAATAAAAGATAATATTAATGAAAGATATGTATAGTCAGAGTCTGTTGGAGAGGAGTTAATGTGACTCCTGTAAAGGAAAATCCTACCTCACTCACCCCCTAGAGTGTCAGTTTGAGTGTCAGTAAACACATGGTAAAAGGAAATATTTTGAATAAGATACCAAAATGGTCAAACAGCTACTGATAAAGTTCCACATTGAAGGTTACTAAAGAAACGAACTTGCCCTTGTGATAGAAGAAAAGTTATTTTATTAATTATCAGCAGGTTAAAAGATAAGAAGCAAAAAGTAGGACTTAGGGGCCATTTGTCAGAGTGGAGGTGTCCTTGGTAGGTTCCCAATGAATTCATGCTGGGAGGCTTGCTCTGTGAAGGCCAAGGTGAAGGTAGAACTGTGTTCAACAGTTCCTGCAACTGTAGAAATAGAGAGCACCATCAAATTGCTGAGAGAAGACTTTAAAAGATTTTTAAAGCGTAGAAAGAAAACACTACAGCAGATTGTGAACTTTTGGAGTCTGCTCCCAGAGGACATTGTGGAGGCAGAAAATAAAAGCAGGTTCAGAGATCTGACAAATTCATGAATGCTGGTCCATAAACAAAATCCAAAAGGGCCAGATAAGGATGTGCCTCCCTAACACAAGAGCTATGGATGCTGGGGGGTTATGAAGGGAATGGCCTGCAGAAAGTGGCCAAGCTTGTGTGCTTTTCCTGGGTAACACCTCCAATTGCCACAGCTGGAGGCAGAGTACTGTGCAAGATGAACCATTGATAGGGCATTTCTTATGCTCTTAGAGCTCTGCATGATGTGTTTGTGCTTTTTAATATTGAATTATCATCCTTATTTATCTGTGTGTCATTAAACCTACTTTACCTCTCTCAGTAAATAAATGTTTCTCTAATAATCTGCCTCCATTTATTAGAGCGCAGATTGTTGAGTTTTCAAACATACACATCTGCTAGCTATAATGAGCTAGGTACTATGTATACAGCATGAATTAATTGTCCTAGAAATCTGAATGGTGAACTTTTGGGATCCTCAGACAAAAAGGTGTTTCATCACACACAGGGTGAGTTAAAAGCATTTCTGATAACTTGAAATCATTGTGAATTGTTGTGTTTGAACCTCTTTTGTTAAAATGTCTAAAAGAATATGCTCACAAAAAATTGACATTAATTCACACATACAAATGGTATTTTACATGAAAAAATGTGTATTACATAAAAATATTACCTTAAAACCTGTTCTTAGCATGACAGAAATGCACAAAATGGCACTTTCACTCATAATGTCCATGTTTTAAAAAAGAAACCATGAGTCATGAGTTCAGACAGATACAGAATTACTGGTGACTAATGCATGGCTTTTCTTATAGGAACTTTTGCCTTAACTTCCTTAATATCTGCCAACGCAGTTGAACGCCTTGTTCCTTCAGTCAGCACTAATTTCACTGCAAACACTAATTCAGGAGTTTTGGGCCTATCGGAGTTTGAAATGCAGAGGATTGGAGTCGCAGCAGCAGTTTCATTTCTAGGCGGAATCATTCAGGTCAGTGGCGAACACATATTCTGTACGTTACTGATGCATTGCATTTGTGACAGCTATAACTTTTGTAATTTTTTTTTTTTATTTCTCTGAGAAAAATTGACCATGGGTCTGGTCCGATGTTCATGAATGATGAAATTAATGTGTTCTAAGAATTTGCTGCTTCTTTGTTGAGATGTAGTAATAGTCTGTGTACATGCTCCTAGGGTGTTGCAATATGAAATAAAACCACATTCAGTCAGCTATAATATAATATAATATTCAGTTGCTGTTGGTATTCCCTTTCCTTTTCCTTCAGAGACAAAACATGAATTAGCTCCTGGTAAGCACTGACATATTCCTGAGATTTTCTATTGCTCTTGGCTTGAAAAGAAATATTATACAATGTTCAATAATTAAAAACAGTAGGGAAAATGTCTTTAAATTCTCTTTAGAGTTCACATACCCATCATTAAAGAGAAATAAATTAGTAAACCAGATGTCTTCAAATGATTCTCTAAAACTTATTCAAATGATCAGAGGTCTTTTAAATTTTTTCTCTTTTCCTATTCTGACCACAAGCGCTGAGTTCCTTTATCCATTGCCAGTTGCTTAGGTCTTCAAAGAAGGCTTCCCCTTTTCCTTGTAAATATTAAAATGCATTTCTAGCATTCAACATTGCAACACATCCTGGGTACCGGGTCTCCTGAAAGAAACTTGGACTTTGGTGTTTGGTGCTTTGGATCCCTCTATCATGCGGAGGATGAGCGAAGGAGCTCAGAATGGGATCTCCAGTGCCCCACACACTTATCAGGAACTGGGGCATATGCTTATGTTAGTCAGTAGGAAATATCAAGAGGCATGGTCATTTCTGTTGCACTTTTCTCATTCTTTTGTTGGTTACAGAATTATGACTTGGGGTAGCAGCTCGAGGGAAACCCAACATACGGAACAGAGCTGATGCTGATTGTGCCTGGCTGCTGCATGTGCTGTCCCATTGCACCAGTGTGTGCAACACAACGCAGCATTATCTGCAGGGTGCTCGTAGCAGCAGAGTCCTCTGAGCATGCACAGGGCTCTTCACGTGGGAGTGCTGTGCTCACAGCCTGACAATCTCCTATGCTGTCCCCACAGAGGCCAAAATGCCTCAAGCGGGATGTCGGTGTCTGCATTTGATCTAACTTCAAAATCCAATGCAGAAATTTTTTGCTTAGCTGATGCAGAATCCCATTAGGTGTGTAAATTGTCTAGACCTCTTACTCTTTCATTCTGAAAAGTTCTGCTTTTTCATATGCCTTCAACCTCACTGGCTGACCTACCTCAGCCTATGTTCTGCTTAAGCCTGACTGGAATGAGAAGAACTAGAAAATCCTCTGCCTGCATCATCAAAGCAGGTCTGATAAGGAACTGTTCCATGTGCGTGGGCTCCTCTCCCAGGTCAGTAATGTCACTTGCGTTAGAGTCATACTAATACTGCTGGTGCTTGTAGTGCTGACACTAGCTCTTTATGTGAGTTTAGTGGTTAGAGACGAGATTAAAATACTTATTTCCTAAAGGAGTGCCTCGAAGATACTGATAGGTGATATGCAAGTGAAAGTCTGGATCAAGGATGTGATTAAACTTTGCCATCATTCCAGGTGCTGTAAAGCATGGGAATCCACATTTCTCATCATGTTTCCAGTCTTCTGGCTAAGAGTTGCTGCAATTCCCTGATAAGGTGACAGGGCACATCTTGCTGGTCTTGGAGAGCTAAGTCAGTGACCTGTTTCTATTTATCAGGTTAAACTAGAGATTAATGAATAGCTTGGAATAGATGAAGTACTCTGGGACAAGAAGAATGATATGATGCATTTTGAAGCAACAGTTTTCCATTGAAGGCATCCTGAAATAGAAAAAGAAGTGGAATTGTCCATGTAGTTGGTAGTTGGGATGGTACCTCTCTGGGAAGGGAGCAGACCTGGGTTACGGTGTCTGCGATAAGACTGTTTATACTGAAAAAGTCAAAATGCAGTGCTCTAACCGGCCACTAATTACACAAAAACGACTGATGCTATGGCTAATTCAGACCTTGGGCAGCTTCCACATGAAGGATGAAACATCTCTCTCCAAAACAACTAGTTCCTTCTTAGAAATAGTAGGTAAAGACCTGAACCTCCTTGGCCAGAAAAGCAATTTGATACTATTTTTCCAGTATCCTGGCTAAGTACTCTGATCAGCAAATAACATTAAAGAAAGAAAAAGGAAAAAAACATACAAAATAGTGAGTCACGGAGGGAAGGCAAAGGGAAGAGTTGTGTTTTTGAGATGAAATGCTGTTGGCTGCTTTGTGTTTGGTGAAGACCATGAGTGTGAATTTGTGTGTGAGGCAAGCTCTGAGCAGGCTTTGTGAATCTCAGTACCATCTAGACATGAAATAAATTAGAATGGTTTCTGATCATCAGACAAGAATAGGTGGAGCTTATAAGATTTGAAACTTTGGGCTTAGCTGCCTAAATGTTTTTGAAGTAATACTTCAGATTCCTAAACTGCTTTTTAAATCTAATGTTTGAGGGAGTGTTCATAAAAGAGGCAAGATATTTAATTATCTTAAGAGGCATTCTGATGAAGATAACAGTATTAAAATAGAAAATAAGTAAACAGAAAATAAAAACTTCAATGAATAAGAACATTTAATATAATGCATCCGCAAGAGACTATTTCATTTTTAAAAGCAGAATGGAAGGTATAATGCATATTTTTTGATGTTTGTGTAACTGTTACTATACAAAGATAAGCAGGGCAGGGAAAGCTAATGAACTTAATGGGATTATTACCTCATATTAAATACCTCAGAGGTATTGATAAGGAGAGGAAATGATGGAACACAACAGATACCTATGAAAGAATTTTGCAATTAGAAATTGGTGTCATCTGCAAACTTACTGAGAGTGACCTTGATGCCCTTGTCCAGGTTGTTGATAAAGATATTAGAACTGGCCCCAAAACTGAGCCCTGGGGAACAACACTTGTGACCAGCCACCAATTGGATTTAACTCCATTCACCACAGCTCTTTGGGTCCAGCCATCCAGACAGTTTTTTACCCAACAGAGAGTGTGCCCATCCAAGCCATGAGCAGCCAGTTTCTCCAAGAGAATGTTGTGGGAAACAGTGTCAAAGGCTTTACTAAAGTCCAGGTAGACAACATGCACAACCTTCCACTAAACAAGTCACCTGGTCATAGAAGGAGATCAGGTTGGTCAAGCAGGACCTGCCTTTCATAAATCCATGCTGGCTGGGCCTGACCACCTGGTTGTCCTGTACATGCAGGGTGATGATGATCTTTCCATAACTTTCCCCAGCACCGAGGTCAGGCTGACAGGCCTGTAGTTCCCCAGATCCTCCTTCCAGCCCTTCCTGTAGATGGGCATCATATAACTTTTTATATAGGCAATTTTATATAGGCAATTCAAGGCATTTGATAACTTCCAGTCCACTGGGACATCCTTTGGCAGCCAGGACTGCTGATAAATGATTGAAAGTGGCTTGGTCAGCACTTCTGCCAGCTTTCTCAGTACCCTTGGGTGGATCCCATCTGGCCCCATAGACCTGTGTGTGTTTAAGTGGTGTAGCAGGTCGCTAACCATTTCCCCTTGGATTATGGAGGCTTCGTTCTGCTTCCCACCCCTGTCTTCCAGCTCAGGGGGATGAGTAGCCCAAGAACATCTGATCTTACTAGTAAAAGACTGAGGTGTAGACACATTAAGTACCTCAGCCCTTTCCTTACCTTTTGTCATTGCATTATCCCCTGCATCCGATAAAGGATGGAGATTCTCCTTAGTCCTCCTTTTGTTGCTAATGTGTTTATAGAAACATTTTTATTGTCTTTTATGGCAGTAGCCAGATTAAGTTCTAGTTGGGCTTTGGCCCTTCTAATTTTCACCCTGCGTAACCTCATGACATCCTTGTAGCCCTCCTGAGCTGCCTGCTCCTTCTTCCAAAGGTCATAAACTCTCCTTTTTTTCCTGAGTTCCAGCCAAAGTCTTTGTTCAGTCAGGTTGGTCTTCTTCCCCACTGGCTTGTCTTTTCACAGAACCACAGAATCATTAAGGTTGGAAAAGACCTTTAAAATCACCAAATACAACCCTCAACCCAACACCATCATGCCCACCAAACCATGCCCTGAAGTGCCACGTCCACATGCTTTTTGAACACTTCCAGTGATGGTGACTCCACCACTTCCCTGGGCAGCCTGTTCCAATGTTTGACCACTCTCTCCGTAAAGAAATTTTTCCTAATATCTTTGCATTATCTTTCTTCCATTCTGAACTTTAGTTTTCTTTTTTTTCTATAATTTTTTTTAGAAATCCCACCTTCCACCACTTCTGTCTAATCACTTGGTTTTATAACTTGTTTCCATGATCTTTTCTCCTTTACTGTGCATTAACTCAAGGCTGTTTTCCCTCACTTTCTCCTGTGGTTTTTTTTTCCTTCCTCTGACAGCTCTTGATTTCATTCACGTGAACTTAATCAAGAATATATACGTGGTGAAAGGAAAATTCAGGTCAAGAAAGTTACTTAATGAGTCTTTTTACATGGTTTGATGTACTGAAAAAGCAGCACAAATCCACTAGAGCCCTGTGCGTTTCAAACCATTTTTGTTACTGTGATTGTTCTCTCTCTGAAATATTCCTTCATCTCCTAAGAACTAAATTTTGAAAAATGAAAAATTCTGGAGACAATCCTAAAATATGTGAAAACTGTGTTCCTTTTACAGTTTAAGAAAAACCCAATATTAGTAAAAATAATGAAAAGGGAAACCTATTTGCTTTTGGCATTTTTTTTGTATTTTATTTTTTGCTGTTCTGACACTTCACTGTCAGTTTTGCCTGTAGTTTGTCTGTATCAAGAAGGAAGAAAAATCATTATCTGAAAATAAGACTGGAAACCTGCAAAAATGAGCATCATGAACACAATGAACATAAAGTACATTATTAGAAATTTCTTTAAGAATATTGAACTTTCTACTTTTTGGTTATTGCTTAGTGGGTGAAAGATTTTATGACATAATGCAATGTGATGCAACTGTGTGCTGTCAGCTCAGGTTAATTTTAAATGGTATCTATCCAAAAAGCAGCCAAGCTATATGCCTGCTGCCAGCACAGAGGATTAACTGGTGAGTTGATCTGGGCCTATGCTAAAAATTTTAAGTATATCTGTCAAGAAAATTCACATTCAACTAGATTTGTGAGGCTTGTTTCAAAACAACTTTTTGCCCCCTCTTGATCTAAGCAATTTCTATACATTACTCACGTTGCAAGGACAGCAGGAGTTTACCATAAGAGCTTATGCTGAAAATTACAGCCTCCTCCCCAGATGTTTTCTGTTCTGGTTGCTTCATTGTTAGATCTTCACCATGGAAGATATGTGGATGCACATTACTTTTATTTAACTATAATGTAAATAAAGAGTAGGATGTACATGCTGATGAGGCATTTTTTTCTGGAAGTCCTGAGCTACCTTCTGTGGTAAGACACGGGAGACCAAGTGTAGACCACTGCTTGTTTAACTGCATAGCTACAGAAATTGTCTACCTGAAACTATACTCATGGTTTGGATGTATTTTACATAATCCACGGTTATAAACAAACAATAAAAATCATGTTTGAAATGTGACCTTTTAGTTACTACCTGTGAAGCATCCCCCTAGAATGCTGAAGATTTAAAGTAAAAAAATTAAAGTAAAAAAAAAAAAGTAAATATGAGTGATGCTGAAGTCGCTAAATTCTGCATTCATGACACCATTTCCCTGTAATTCATAGTAATATCTTTCTCTGAAATGCTAGTATTAACTAACATTTCTCTGTGTTATTATGTAGTTCACAGAATTGTCTCCATGGTTTTGATTCCACAGCTGAATAAGCATCCATCTCATTCTCAGGAAACTAAGCTATTACACAGTTAGAAATTTCACATCCATCCGTTACAAACTGATCTTAGAAAACAAACAAAAATTCACTAGGGAAGGGAGAATTTAATTCTTATTGAACTTTGCTACTGTGAACAATGTTTTAAATATATGAATAGGCACACTGTTAGAACAAACTGCTAAACAAAATATCTAAAGTTTATAATTATCGATTTTAGGCCTGACTAACTAAATTACTACTCACTGAGGATATAATAGTAATTATCATTATTGGGGTCCAAGCTTGAATAGCAATCAGAACAATCAATGTTCTGATTGTTCATAGTACAGAGTAGTCCGCATGCTATTAGTGGGAAACAATAAAAAAAAATTCTCAGACTTAATCTCTCAGATGGGAGAGGAAATTGCTCACTAAAGTTTCTTGTGTTAAATTGAAAGAATGATAATATTTGGAAATTATTCTTTCAGGTCCAGAACAAAACAAAATGAAGCAAAAGAGGATGTGATATATTCCAAAAGGATCATATTTAGTATGGTAAATGCAAAATAATCCTCAAAACAATCCAGAGTTGTAACAAACAACTCTGTGTCAAGAACATATAACTTTTCAGGCAGAAGAATAGAAAATGCAAAAGATTATAGAAGTAAGAAACTCCTTCTTTATCTAATGAATCTTCAGATCTCATTGTAAGGGGAGATAATTTAAATGTGACTTAATATGGATCAGAAAAGCATTAAGTGTTGTGCTAAGCACAGCAGCATCTGTAGGTGTGTAACAACCTTGTTCAAAGAATTAACAGCTGTCAAATCTTGTTCTTCAAGGGAAAAGAATGATTGTAGTCTGGAATAAGAGGAGAAAACACGGTAGTACACAATAATAGTTTGGGTATTTTTTCTATATTCCTATGAAGTATCTACAATAGTTGGAAAACCTGATATTGACACGTTTGCAATCAGTCAGATGGACCACGATACGGACCTTTGCCTGCTCATACAGTCTGAATAGCAGTGGAGCAGGAATAAGTCTTAGCATCACCCTCATGTTTTGAATTGCTTTTCTTCATGTTTCTCTATTGAACTGATCTTTTTATAGTGTTTATTGAGCTCACAGATTTGAGAGGGAGAGGATACTAAGCGTTGCATTAAGGCTGTGGACGTTGTTTACCTGCACTTTAGTAAAGCCTTTGACACTGTTTCCCACAGCATTCTCTTGGAGAAACTGGCTGCTCATGGCTTGGATGGGTTCACTCTTTACTGGGCAAAAAACTCTCTGGATGGCTGGGCCCAAAGAGTTGTGGTGAATGGAGTTAAATCCAGTTGGTGGCTGGTCACAAGTGGTGTTCCCCAGGGCTCAGTTTTGGGGCCAGTTCTGTTTAACAACTTTATCAACAACCTGGATGAGGACATCAAGTGCTCCCTCAGTAAGTTTGCAGATGACACCAAGTTGGATGGGAGTATTGATCTGCTGGAGGGTAGGAGGGCTCTGCAGAGGGATCTGGACAGGCTGGATCGATGGGCTGAGGTCAAACGTATGAAGTTCAACAAGGCTAAGGGATGGGTCCTGCACTTGGGTCACAACAACCCCATGCAATGCTACAGATTGGAAAGTGGCTGGAGAGCTGCCGAGCAGAAAGGGACCTGGGGGTGTTGTTTGACAGCCGGCTGAACATGAGCCAGCAGTGTGCCCAGGTGGCCAAGAAGGCCAAAAGCATCCTGGCCTGTATCAGAAATAGTGTGGCCAGCAGGAGTAGGGAAGTGATCATCCCCCTGTACTCGGCACTGGTGAGGCCGCACCTTGAATCCTGCGTTCAGTTTTGGGCCCCTCACTACAAGAAGGATGCTGAGGTGCTGGAGCGTGTCCAGAGAAGGGCAACGAAGCTGGTGAGGGGTCTGGAGCACAAGTCTTACCAGGAGCGGCTGAGGGAACTGGGGTTGTTTAGTCTGGAGAAGAGGAGGCTGAGAGGAGACCTCATCGCTCTCTACAACTACCTGAAAGGGAGCTGTGGCGACGAGGGTGTTGGTCTCTTCTCCCAACTAACTAGCGATAGAATGAGAGGAAATGGCCTCACGTTGCACCAGGGGAGGCTTAGATTGGATATTAGGAAAAATTTCTTCACCGAGAGAGTGGTCAAGCATTGGAACAGGCTGCCCAAGGGAAGTGGTGGAGTCACCATCCCTGGAGGTATTTAAAAGCCATGTGGGTGTTGTGCTTAGGGACATGGTTTAGTGGTGGACTTGGCAGTGCCAGGTTAACAGTTGGACTTGATGAACTGAAAGGCCTTTTCCAAACTAAACAATTCTATCATTCTGTGATTCTAAGACAGTTTCTTTTAGTCCGCTTTTGTTACTGAACTAATGTTAAGAGTCTGGTAAACTAGTGATGCAAGTAGGATAACGTAGGTAAACCTGCAGAGCTTCAATGGGTCCCATTTTCAGCTATAGTTGTCTTTCAAAGGAGTTTTGGTATTTATTTTTATCTCATTTATCTCACAGTTTATTAGATAGACCCTGGTTCATTGTCCTGTCACCAGGAAGCTGCATTTTATTATAAACGCTGATACTCATGCCTTTGCCTTTTAGGTAGCGATGTTTATGCTGCAGTTGGGCAGTGCTACTTTCTTGTTGACAGAACCGGTGATAAGCGCGATGACAACAGGGGCAGCTACACACGTTATGACTTCACAAGTGAAGTATCTGCTGGGAATGAAAATGCCATATATATCGGGACCACTGGGATTTTTTCATGTGAGTTCAGTAAAAGAGATGGGTTATTCCGTTAGCTAACATTTTCTTAAATAACTATGCTATTTGTCTATATGTAAGTGTAAGAAATTTGTTATGCGTGCATGTGAATGAACAGAAGATGTAATACCAAAACCTTCATCTTGCTAGGTTTGTTTGTAAGGACAGTTTAGGAAAAGTTGATGAAGAATTAGCAGTTGAAAGGATACAGTAATAAATTTAAAATATGTTTATGACAGCATCAATAATTCCATTTATTATCTTGACCAATTACACACTTCTACAGGGAGGTTAACTCTTTCTAGATCAACATGTGGGAGAGATATATCCAAATATAATTCTAAACATATTTTCTTCATATTTTGCTGAATGAAACCTGGCGATCATTCTGGTAAAAGGAAAATGATCCACGATTTGTGGATCTCCTGTGCAAAAATACCCTAGATATGTTACTTATTGCTTTATGCTTTGCCATAAACACAGCAAGTGTACAGCTTTAATGTAATATTTATAAAATGTATACAGCCTTTCACACAGTATCATGATTACTCCCTTTGGAAAGTAGATATTGCTGGCTGAAACCTTAAAGGGCAAAGTTGTATAATCTTATTGCATAAAAGGTATGAGAACATATTCTTTATGGTAACTTATTCCAGCAAACCCTGAGTTTAGGTGCTGTGAGCATAATCTCTTGGCAGAAGATTTAGTAGTATTACAATAGTATCTGTCAAAATTATATTTTGCTCATGATAAAACTTTATTTACTTGCTGAGAGATATTTACATTGCACTGATAGAAATAAATGAATTGATTACCAGATGAAGTGAGGCTTCATCTAGTTAGCCACTAGATTAGGACACCTTGTTTAAAAGTACTGACTACCTTTTCTTGCACTGCTCTGTTCTTTATTTGTTCCTGTTATTTTGGGAAATTTGTTAATATGAACTCTGTGATGCTGTTTTTTAGAATGTAATAAATTTGATAACATTTCATATGGATAATCCATTGGTAAGTTTTCTACAGAACCAGTTTATTAATGAGAATTAGGGGCATGTAATAAACACAAGTAATTGTGGGGACATAATGAAAAGTGTCATAGCCATTTTTATGAGTAGTCAGTTGGTCTGTGAGACTGTTACAAATGATTCATTATATTTTAAAATATTTTTTAATTCTTTAAAAACCTTTTCATAAATACTTCTTAATATAAAATATGAATAGCCTTTTTTTCATGTTGTTTCCATGGAGACTATACTTACATATAGGAATATTGTAATCTCGTAGAGATGACTGGTGTTAAGTACCACAGCCAAGACATAATCAAAACATACATTATGAGCAATAATAAAGAACAGCAGTGATACAAAGAAATATTTCCATGTTGGTGTGCTGATGATATCATGAATGAGATCATTCAAATGCTTTGAAACAAAATTATTCCCTTATCCCTTGTATTTTTTAATGTATCTGAAACAAGTTCTTTGCCCTTCATTTCACTTTTGAAATCAAACCCCTTTGAACATTAAAAAAAAAAAATTTCCTGATTTTTTTAAGGTTCTGAATTTCTCTGTAGATTTGTGTGAAAACAAATGAAAAAAACAAAACACCATCTCTACAACTTAAAAGAATAATTAAAAAGTCTCCATATTTAGAAGGGATAATTTTACTATGCAATTATTTTAGAAGGTTTCTGGTATCTGTTCAGACTTATGGGTTGCTTTAAGAAGGTCCAGGATCTCAGTCAGAAGAACCAGATTTAGATTTTAACACTAATTTTTTTCTGTGGTGCTAGTTTTAATTGAAAATTATACTAATTACATATATGTTGGTGTGCACATATAACAAGAAAGTGAAAGGCAAATTTGGCATGTCTCTCTGGATATATTCTTTACTCCAAATTTCTGAAATCCAAAGAGTGGTACTTTTGCTTACATTTTTTTTTTCTTTCTCCACTCCAAAACACCTCCCACTCACAAAGCTGATTGCTTTGCCTCAGGCAGCCTTTGGGTTGGCAAAGCAAGGATAAGAATGTTTAATAAAGTGTGATAGGAGAGCTGAAAGTAAATCAAGCCAAAGAAATGGATTTTTTACAGCAAATGAGATCATGATTAAATATGTAAAACAAGCTTTGTATATAGAGAACAAATCTACTACACTGGCGTTGAGTCTATGGGATTTTTGTGTTTACACATAGTTTATGTAATTTATTAAATTTCATTTCCCCTGTACATGGTTTGTAACACTGCAATATAGCTCCATATTGCAGCATCAATTGGTATTTTACAAACGGGAAAGTCAAGACGAAGGTGAGTAAGAAAAACGATGAGGGAAGACTACATGTGAGATCTAATTTTTACAAGGGACAAGAAAAGTGTCATCAAGTTTTACTTAGTATTTGAAAACATAAAAAACATATCTATATTTTCTCTTTATCCATGTGTAGTTATATTTATCCTTCCACAAGTTTCTGAGAAAATGAAGCACTGCAAAATGAACTCCTTCAACATAACACACCTACTTTGCAAAACGGGGTCTTTCGTGGTTGTGTTGCAAGTTTGTTGCAAAATCCTTGTGGTTGTGCTGCAATTAGCTGAAAAAACCTTCATGTTCTCACTATCAGTCCTTTTTTTCCCTTTTATTTCCTACAGTTTGTTCCTATACAGTTCACAATAGTTGCCCGTACTTTTTTCGCACAGTGTGTTTTATTTGTCTAACCAACATCAGAATGAAATATTTTTAAAAATGCAATGAGGTCATCTACTGTTGAAGTGTATTCAGTGTTTTAACAAATATGTTCCTTTCATTCTTTTGTGTGCTTCAGCCTCTATACTCATTTTAGAGCTAATCTTTTGGGTTTTCATGTATATGTTAAATAAAAAGAACTCAGAGGATTTCGTTGTTACATAAGAATACACATTCTTTCTAGAATATAAACCATCTCAATGTTCATTATTACCCTGTGAAAGTATGTGAAAATATAGTGAAATGCAAAACCACTAATTTCCTATCAGAATAGAGACATGCAGTGTCCGTATATATGTGTGCAAAGTTAGAATATTGTTTTTTTCACTTATGTGCAAATTTACATCGATTGCCAAAATGTTCACTGATTCCTCATAATATTGCCAGACCATTTCCATTAAAATTTTTTGCACAAAACTAGCAATAAAAATAAAAAACAAGAGGCAAACAGCTCAGTTAATATGTTATTGCTGTATTTTTAAATTTTGTTAATTATATAATGGACACAAAATTGCTTCATACACTGCAACACCAAACTAAATTCTTCTACAGAATTTCTAAATTCTTTCTGTAAGTGCGTCATCAAAATATGTAAAATACTGAATTCATAATGATGTTTGTGATGAAAACATTTAGAAATACTTCTTTTTAATCAGATGTCAGTGTTGTTACGAGCTTGAGCTTTAGGTGCTTACATCTAGGATTTACACTGTCACCGCGGATGAGTACAGTAACTGACTGGACAGTACAAGGTGTGAACTGCATACTATAGAGAGCTATAGTGTATGTTAACCACCTTCATGTTAAGAGCCACATGATCTTTTTTTCTGAAGAGCCCGTGGGCATTTTGTGAAACGGTCTCTTGGCTTGGCTGGTCATATCATTAAATGGTTTTTTTCAGGTTTTCAGAGAATGGTTACCTGGGAACAGGCTAGTCAGTAGGAGCTCTTTAGTCTGATGAAGTAATTGATTTCATATTCATGTATTACTGCTGGAATTGTTTCAGTGTACTGCAGACACTTTGGGGATAGGGCTGTTGGCGCTACTGAACTTGTATGAGCTACAGAGCATTGGTAGTCCCGTTCTTCATTTATTGGCTGATGTAGATTACACACTGAATGGTACAATTTGAAGAGAAACACCAAAGAATGCACTAAGCAGCTCATATAAAGTCTTTGTTACCAACTGGGAAAAAGCTATGACAAAGGTCTACAAGATCTGGCTATATATTTCAAAAATTAAATGGAAGCCTCTTCTTAGTCAATTTGTAGAGACAGACAGAAATTCTAAAAGCTTATGCATATTTCTTTGTAATCCTTCATAAAAATTATGTTTATTCACCCAACCTTATGTCTCACTTTGTCTAGGAACATTAAATTCAACACCATAAACACTGATTGCTAATGCTGAGACTTGAATAGACATCTTTCATTTCAAAATAAGCCCAGATCTCTTTGACTTCGACGTTTAGGAATCACTCCATTTCTTCCCTTTTCTTACCACTTCACCTTAGATCTAGCTCAGCCTTTGGTGAGTCTGTGGGCACAGTTTGCAATACAGTTTTCCAGATTGCCTCCTTTTGTCCTAATTAATCACAGCTTCTGCCTGGGCACTGTGCCAAGGCCTGTGCTTGCTCGAAAATGCATTCTTGGAAAATTATGAGTACAGAGACTAGTCCCAAGCCACTCAAGGCACAACTGACATTGTCTGATTACGGTGGGGCAATATGTGGTTAAAAAATGATTTCATTGCCATTATTCAGATTTATGACATGTATAGATCATAGTATTTAAACAAGTTGATTTTAAAATGTTTTCCTGGGTTCTGAGAGAAGTTTGTGCTGGGTTATGCTGTGCACCCTTAACCGAAAGTCCAAGGGCTAAATTTAAAACCATTGGACTAAATTTCCTGCTTATGAGAAAAATTACATTTTGTCTTTTTTTTTCTGCAGCTGTTTTTAGAGGTTTTAAAATTTTTTTTTCCCCTTACAGATTACAAAAATATTCTTAGAAAGGGGGAGAGAAGAAAAATCAGGAAGTTATTTGTAATTTACTCATTCTTCAAAAGGAGTGTCATCTCTTCAAGGACTGAAAAAATAAGAATAGTGTAAAAAAATTGTATCATCATATTGACCACCTTTCTGCTAGAACTGGGTTCTTTCCTAACATAATTTTTCTAATGTTTTTTCCTGGCCAATATAAATATATGTATTTAAGCTCCAAATTGTCAAACCTTATTAGCATTATATATGCATTTGAGAA